GCCTTCGGGGGGAGCGAATGAGGCCGGGGAGGGGGAAAGAGGAGAGAACGCTGAATGGGGCGCGGAGCGAGGCGGAGGCCCGCCATCTCCGTACCTGAGCCCGACCCCAGGTGGGGCAGAGGGGAGGCGGAGGCCAGGGGAGACTTACAGCGGAGCGGGCTGTCGAGCCGGCAGCCTCGGAGACGCGCAGGGCCCGGCAGCTTCCAGGCGGAGGGTGTGGCCAGGGGAGCCCGGCGGGCGGGACCCAGACGGGCTCGGTCATTTCCTCTTGGGTTTCCTGGCTTCTGAGCTCGGGTGGGGGGAGCAGAGGGGGGAGATGCTGAGGGCGGTGGCGGGGCAGGGGTGCGAGGCTGGGCCGCGTTTGCACCCGCGGGCCGGACTGGGTGAGTCTGGGGAATAGGGGCGGGCAGGTCTTGGCTAGGTGGGGTTCCTTTGGTGAGGGAGGGGTAAGAGGAGGGCTTTACTTTGGGGTGTCCGGGAAAGTGGAAGGCAAAGAGCAATTGGGGGGGACACTGTGGGAGGGGAATGGAAACTCGTGAGAGGCTCAAGAGGAGACCACTGGGGGCTCTGAAGAAGGGGGAAGGAAGGGAGCAAGTCTGGGGATAAGGGAGGGGGCCCCCCAGTTTGGGCCCCTCCCCCACTTTGCCCCACAGATGAGAACACACAGACAGAACAGGGAAAAAACCAAATGCACATTTATTAAGCTCAAGACATAGACACTGAGGGTGCAGGGGAAGGGCCCTTTAAAGAGACGAGGAGGTGCAGGAGAGCAGTACACGGGGATTCTGGGGGGGCTGGGGGTGGACTCCGAGATCCCATGAGCTGGAGGCCTGGGTCCCTGGATCTGGGGTGCAGATGGGCTCTTTGGGGGGTCGTCATTGCCAAGGCCTGGGGAGCGACATCAGGGTGCAGCAGCTCCAGTCTCGTGGTGGGTGGGGTGGCTCGTTGGGGACCGGCTCCCCGGAGCAAGGCGGGGATCCCCACCGCCTCCACCTGGTCTTCAGGCTCCTGCACTCAGGTAGGGACAGCAGTGGAGGTGCCCCGGGCTGGTTTTACACGCCGCCACCTCCAGGAGCTGGGGGGCAGGAGAGAAAGAGCATGAGCATGCCAGAGCGTCCCTGAGGCCTGTCACCCTTGAGCTGGCACTTGGGGACCCAGCCTGCTTCCCTACACCCCACACCCGCTCCATGCCGGGACACTGTCATGGAGGGGAACACATCTGCGATGAGACTGGTGACCCCAGCTTGGGTTCTTCTTGGCCACCCCCCTGCCAGAAAGGGGGTCTCCTTCCTTCTCACCCCTGCCCCTTCCCAACACCCCAGCTCCCTACCACTTGAAGCCAACAGGAAGGCCCATCCCCACCACTTGAGACCATCATTTAACTGGAATGAGGCCGAATCCTGCTCACACACCTTAGATCGTGTCCCATGCCAGGGCCAGACACCCACCCATCACCCACCAAGAAGCCCATTCACGGCGGCAAATCTTACTACAAGTGTTTGCAACAAAAACCATGCAATCCCAGACCGAACCCCTAAATATCAAGAGCCCTAAGGCCCATTTTAGTTACAAGAACCTTAAAGGAGGCAGAGATTCCCTTCTGTTTTTTTTTTTCTGACATATAAAACTCTCCAGCAAGGCTGCCCTTCCACTAAACAGGTGGAGATATTTTTCCATAATTTAGCACCCCCGCAGGGGTCACCCTCCTCTACAAGCTTGTCCCCTCCAACATCCCCCATCTCCCTTCACATTTGTCTACTTGCAGTCACTATCCCTCCCAGCGCCCCACCCCTCCCCCCACTTCCCCTGTCTTCACACCTCTCCCGCCAGTCATCCCCCTTTTCCACCCCTGGTCTTCGCCCTTTCCCTGACTTCCCATCCTTCCATCTTCATATTCTCTCTTCTCCAGCATCAATGTTTTTAATTTGTATTTCTACATCTCCCCTTTTGCTACTTTGATGCAACTATTCAGCAACTTGCCCTCCCTCCCTCCCTCCCTCCCTCCCTCCCTCCATCTCGCCCTCCCTCCCTTTCTTTGTCCCTTCTTCCTTCTCCATCATTTCCTCCTAGATTGTCTTCTCTAAGCTCAACCTCTCTGCCTGGAGGCGCCCCTCACCCAGAGGGGCCCCTCTCTTCACAGAAGGCAACTTTCTCCTTTGGGGTCTGATCCATGTGGCCTGTCTGGGCCAGTGGCCTTGTTTCTGGGATGGGCATGGACCCTAGACCTTTCTCATCCCACTCACTGTCCATAGGTGGTCCCAGCCATTGGTGGACACTCCTAGGGAGCCCAGTGCAACCCATCCCAGGGACCCCTTTCTGCTCCCCCCTCCCCTCCCATCCTCACCTGAGGAGGGAAGCTCCGACTTACAGGATTTGCATGTTGGGCTGTGGAGGCAAAGATGAAAGAGAAAAGCATAAGGTTGGTTCAATGGTTGGTTCAATGCGGTTGGTTCAATGCCTGTGGCCAGGGCAGAGACCCTTCTGCTATGGACGGCCCCTGCACCCTGGCGCCCCGCCCTCCCACCCCCCCAGAGCTGCCAGACCTCTCAGACCTGGAGTCCGCCTTCCGGCACTTCACCTTCTTGCCTGTTAGGAGAAAGGGAGACAGAACAGGACACAGGCCATGAGGGCCAGGGGCCAGGCGCACCCAGCAGGGGAACTGGAGGCTCTAAGGGACCCTGGGTGGCCCTTCTTGAAGCATTCTGGACCCTGGAAAGGGTCACACTTACTGAGAATGATGATGATGCCCAGCACAAACATTATGGTCGCCAGAGTCAGGCCTATAGTCTGCACGGTGTCGTAGTCTGGGGAAGAGAAGGCGGGCCATCAGGGCAGGGGACCCCTGTGCCCCCTAGGCCCTTAGCCCAGCTACAAGGCTGCTGGGCTGGGGACCCCAAATTCAGAGATGCTACCAGTCAAGCCAGAAGCCCCCTTCATCCCCTATCCAGGCACACTGTTCTCATCACTGCTGCTCCTGGTGCATTTCAGATCTACCTCAGGGCCTTTGCACTTGCCGGTCCCTCCATCTGTAAGTTCTTCCCCTAAATATCCACATGGTTTCCTCCCTCCCTGACTTCTAGACTTTTTTCAAATGCCAGTGAAACCTTCTCAGACTCTTTAAAATTTCCCATTTTTTTCTCAATACTTTCTAATCTCATTCCTTCCTTCGTGATAATTATTCTGGAAACCTGACTTATGGAGCACCCACTGTATCAGCAGTGATCCAGGCCTCTGTCCTTATGGAGCTGACTTTCGTGTTTTGATAAAAAAGCTAAATAAAGCCCAAAACCATAGCTGAGTGGGGTTGATTTCTCTTGCCAGGAGGAGGGTATCTCCTAACAGAGCAGTCAATATTTAATTGAAGAAAGAAATGGAGTCTTAGCCAACAGTATGGAGAACTAGAGGAGGAGTATTCCTGGCAGTGGGAACAGCAAGTGCAAAGGCCCTGGGGTAGAAAAGAACTCTGGTAGTGAAGAAACAGCATGAATGAGCACATGGAGAAGGCCAAATCTACTAGACCTGGGTGGAGGGGGGGTTCATCCCTTTGAGCTTCAGTGCTGTGAGGTTCATTTCATGGCGTTTTCTGGGTAAACCTATCCCACAATCCTCAAGGTGGAAGCTGTTGTTATCTATAGACAGGCCAGAAAGGCAAGTTTGCTTGCCCGACGTACACGGCTAGTGTGGAGATAAGCCAGGATTCCAGTCCAGACAGCCTGGCTTCAGGGTTTACTTCCTGATGACCCAAAGCACAGAGTCCTGACGGGCAGAAGGAGGCCCCAAGAGGGTACCCACTCCCCCAAAGCTGGTTCTGCTCTCCACAAGCCCAGATTATGTGCCGGTAACCACATGGTCACATGGCCAGTGGCTTAGCTGGTGTCAGCAGCACCCGTGGGGACTGGCAGCCACCCACCCCAGGGTGCCCCCACTTCACAGCATTCACACTCACCGTAGTGAAATGGGTCAGATTCCTGAGGAACTGTGGGAAGGAAGGCAGAGAAAGAGGGAAAATATTTCAATATTGGTTGCTTAGCATTTTTGAGGATCCACATCTGGCCACAGGACCAGTGTTGTCTCTGTAGAAATCAGATGAAGCCTCTTAGTCTGGACGACATAGCCCCAAGGCTGGAAGTGGAGCACAGCCTGGACTCCAGGCCCACTCATGTCACTGCCCCCCCCCTGCAGTGCACAACCCACCCAGCTGTACATGGTTCAGTCTAAGCCCCCCCCCACACCACCCCCCAGGCTGATTTACACTCTGGACTCATTTCCTGAAAAACACATTCATTTGCATATGACCCTGAGGGTTAATAGGCTGCTGAATGCATGGCTTCCTGGAGCACCCCTGAAACTTCTCCTTCACCTGTAAGCTCCAAAAGATAGGCACTGTGTCTACCACTCATTCCTGTCACCAAATCCAGTACCAGGGAGATGGCCGATATCATGTACTATACGGTATATATATCATATACTACATATATCCAGATAGAGATATACTATCTATGTCTATATAATCTATATATTGTATATACTATATATCCCATATCGTATACTACACAGTGATGTATAGTGTATAATATACGCGATATATCGATATATAGTTATACATGTGATCTATCACTTATGGTATATATGTGATCTATTGCTATATAGTATATATGTGATATCTACTATATATCAGTGTAATATCATATACAGTATGTCATATATTATGCAATATATATCATACTGTTTATATATTATAGTATATGATACATTAAATATTGTCTACAATATATCACTAATATATCCTACAGTACTTATTTCTAAGTCACTATCCATGTTAAGATTCAAAATTGACTTCCTATTACCTTCCCAGTATGGGTGAACAGTGAAGATATATAAGTATGTATGTATTTGTTCACTATACATACATGAGTGCCTATATACATTCATTCGCTATACATATATATGTACATATAGACACTGTGTGTATACTGTATATACATATACAATATATAGTAGATATAAAGCTCTATCAAAGGAAATACCATTCCTTTGGTAGACCTACCCCAATTTCATAAATATTAATATGTAAGTAAAGTATGTATATAGCACTGCAAGCTAGCTGCAGCTGCTTCAGTGCAAGTTCGATCCTCCACCTCAGAGGTGACCCACATGGTGCCGCAGACCTCTCCTGACACACCCGCTGCTCCCCTCAGCAGTGTACTTCGCCAGTCAGCCTGTTCTGCTCCCCACTCTGTGCAGGGACAGTGAGTGATTCACTCACTGTCCCTGCACCTCTGGGTTGTACCCCAGTTCTGTGTGCATAAATAAATAAATCTTTAAAAAAAAAGTCTATCCTAAAAAAAAATGTGTGTGTGTCTGGGGACTTATTTTTCCTCATCTTCCATCTCCCTGTCCCAAATCATACTCCCTTACACAATAGTTCATCACATCCTTCCCTCCCAGTCTAGAAACCCATCCTGATGACTTCCTGATTCCTCTACCAACTCTTCATTCCAGTCTGTCCAGAGCAAATTCTCAAAGCATGAGCACTAGGGGAAGGAGCCCAGGTGTGCAAGGGGACACCAGTGTTGTTATTACTGTTCTTTCCCTTTACAGGCTCGGGGAAGGATGGCAGCTTTGAGGCTGGGTGAAGCCATGACTAATTCTGGCCCATGAACTGAATGGGCATGTCCTTTCCCTTCCAGGCTACAGCCTTTAAGTGACTATGCAAGAGTCCTCTTCTGCTTTTGACTTGGTGACATGAATATCTAAGATATTGGCTGCTCTAATTTTCTTTGATGAGTAGAGACCCTGGCCCACCTCTGACAGACTTATAATATGAAAAATCAAACATGGCTGTCAGAAACTGTTGATTATTTCTGGGGCTGTTTGTTACTGCAGCACATGCTAGCTTATGCTGACTGATACTGGCAGCACCGAGCAAGACCCTGACTAACACCCATTCTCACAACATGTAAGTTCTCTCTTCTCAATTTTCTGCCCAGTCTTCACAGAAAAAACAAACCCAGGCAGGTGTTCCTGCCACCAAATCCTGCACAGGGGCACTGTCCTATGATAAGTGAATTTTTAACACCTGCTAGCCCTTGTTAACCTCCCCTCTCCACCAAGAGTAAGCACTCCACAGGCTCCATACCTGTACCAGGCAACAATATCAGTGAAGAATTTTGTGTCATCATTTGGTTGCCTCCGTTATTTATCTAACCGGCATTATCTAACCTGGCTCAGTGCCAGCCTCTCTTTGACGCACTGTAAGAGCACACTTAATCTTCCAGCAGCTCTCTGACATAGGAGACATCTTTGTCCTCATCTCAAAAATAGCAACATCGAGGCCCAGAAGAGTGAAGCTACTTGTTTGCATTCATTTTTATATTTACCTTCAATTTCAACCACCCCCCATGATGAGGGCCGGGGGTGGGGGGTCAGCAGGGTGTGTGCATAGATCAGGAATCTGCCCCTACACACACTAGTTGACCTGTGACCTGTTTGCTCTGAAGTAACTTTCCAGTCTAAGGGGCACCTGGACGCTGCGGCCATTTTTGTCAGAGACAGGGCCATCCCAGAAGGAGTGAAGCATTGAAATCCAGATGCCTGTGGAGGGTGGAGGGGGAGCTGCCGGGAGACAGGGCACCAGAAAACTCCCAGAAGTTGTTAACTGCCTAGAATGAAGGCCCCAGCCCCACTGATAATGAGCTGTCTTAGTTTAACTCACTCTAAAGTAGCCTTTTAGAGGTGAGGTGTTAGAAAGGTTTTCTTTGGAGCAATGTGCTTTGGAGCAATGCATTCTCAGATTAGCTTGCTGATCTAATGAAAGCACTGAGTAAATATTCAATCCCTTTGTCTTTTGGCAGGTAGGAAGAATCAGGTATTTTCTGGCAACACCAATCCCCCCAAAAATATTTGCACTTGTGGTGATCATATAAAATAATGCTAATTAAAATTTTAAAAGTGAATCCTGTAAAGGAGAAATACTAAATACTATTAAATAGAAAATAAATAATATTTCATATAAATAGTGTGGGGAACATTTCTACAGAGCAAAAGTCAGGAAGGTGAAACTCACAGAAGTGCAGAAGACACCCAGGCTGTCTCACCAGAGGAGAAAATTTGTTACCTATCTTATTGTTAATCATGGCATTTATAAAAATCTCCCAAAGGAGCGTTCTAGAATGTATGTGTGAATGAGAAACTCCACCGCAGAGGCTGCATCACAGGTGGACAGCTGGACCATCCTGCTTTGGTCTGGTGTTTGCACACACCTTTCCTCCCCACAGGTGAGCGCCTGTCCCAGAATCTTCTTTGTCGCCCTGAGTGCCCCCAGCTCCCTGCAGAGTTCCTCTTCTGGCCTTTGCTGCCCCAGCAAACTGGATCCTCAGGGCCAGGCAGAGCTAGGTGGAGTCAGGAGCCCAAGAAGGAACAGTGCCCTGTCCCTGGCCAGTTGCCAGGGAGACACCAGGGTGGAGCTGGTTGCTATGACAACTGGGGCATCTTGAGAGGTGAGAAAAGGTGAGGGGTCTGGGCACCCCAGGCCGGGTGGGATTCTGTGTGGGGGCTTGGAGTCTAACTCCCTGTCTCCTCCAACCTCTTTATGGACCCCTGCAGGGCTGGCTTCTGGCCAAGAGAAGGGTCCTTCTCTGGGAGTCCAGGACAGTAACCCCCCCCCCCATTTGTGCTGCTCCGGTCCCACCTTTTGCTGTTGGCCCCAATTCTCCCTATGCTCTCTGAGGGCTGGACAGAGCCCTCACCTCCCTCCCCCTCTCTCCAACAATTCATTAATTAGTTTCCTTAAGCGGCTGGCAATGGCTGCAAGCTTGCTTTCCCTCGAGCCCC